GTCTACATGACATGGTAGTGTGCCCCAGTGAAGTCTCCTCCTCCCCTACAGCCTCAGTTCAGTCCACCACTTCAAATGACAACAGGTAATAACTAGGTATACAGCACAGTAGCACCAGCAGCATCTCAGGCAGCCAAACAGTGACAGTCCATATCATAGCAGTCATTCCCCCCTCTTCTCCCTCCCTCTCCTTACTTTCTGTTTCCCTGCAGGCAAGCCCAGCTTCAGTTTCGAAACTTGAAAGGTTTTGAAACTTTTGATACATTTCAACTGCTCTCATTTCAAGGCTGTTTCAAAGCCCTTCGTTTCATTTCAGTTTCACTGTTTTGAGCTTGAAACAGCACTGGAAAAAAAAATAGCCGGTGAAATTTCATATAACCCTACTGCTTAGTCTCCTGCTTGGTAGTTAGGACACATTCCTGGGAAGTGCAAAATGTGGGTTTAAATCCCTTTGGGGTGGGCTAGGCCTAGAACCCAGGCCTCCCCCTTCCTAGATCTTAAACCCAAGGATATTGAGTAAAAGCTGGGTACCATGACTGCTGCTCTCTGCCAGGTAACTATCCCCTTTGTGAGGGGATCCAGACATGATGCAAGCATATACAGAGAAGCTGTTCAATGAGAAAATGGAAGGGCCATAGTACTGTCCTCTAGAATGGTACAAGGCTGCCCACTCCCAAAATGAGAAAGCTATTTGTTTCCCTGGGTGGAATAGGACCACACACTTGAGGCTGGATATGGGCTAATGGGCTCGTGGCAGCAAAAACAGACATTTTAGAGATGTGATAGGATGTAGAATGTTACATCTATCTGTGGCATGATGATTTGCTATGTTCCCCAGGGCAGTATGGCTCTGAGCCATCCACAGTACAAGACCATGCCTAACAGGCCATTTACTTCTTAGTGAGATAGCTATAGTTATGAATATTCATCAAAATCTTTAACAGATGCTCTGGAAAATTCCCAAGATCTAATTTTAAATGAAGTCTCCAGACAATGTGCTACACATGAAATCCAGGATTACAGCCATTTCTGAAAATCCAATCAACATTTCCCAATGAAAACGAAGTGTTAAAAAAGAGAAAGGTAAACCTTGTAAGTAACAAAGCAATAGGACTACTTTGTACCACCTCCAATCATGGTGAGCAGTACTTTGTGTGAGAAGTTCCTCTGATTTTGATTAGGCTACTGCTGATTTTTTTTAACTCCTGCTGTCTATCAGATAGCTGCCTCCTCTCTGAGTGAGGGAATCCTGGCAGGACACAAGAATAAGTGTAAGCTGTCCCTTGAGAGAATGGGGAAAGAATATGTATTTCCTTGTACATACCATTCTGTTGTGCACAGAGTGATTTAAAGGTAAGATCAAAGAATGAGCCCTATGGGTGCATCCTGATGATCGTGCACATGCAGTTTGTGGTGCCTCAAAGCAGTTCCAGGCATTGCAAACCACACACAGCACATGTGTGCTCATTTGCCACACTGCTAATTTGTAGTGCAGCAGTTTTAATTTGGCACCACCAAAAAAAGTGCTGTGGTGCATGCAGCAGTAGTGTGCACCACCAGAAATGGACCCTGGCTGGCCAGAGCTGCACAATGGCTGCCAGCCAGGCTGTGAGTGGCTGGCCTGGCACTACTGCTGCCCTGGGACGCCCCCAGGACCTCAGGTAAGGCTGCTGGGGCCAGCATAGGTGCTGGCCCCGGACTCCCCTACCCCACCCAGGTCGCCTTGGCGTGTCCTGAAGTGCATGGGTAGGAGCATGCTTGGGGACAAATAGCGGCACAAATGTGCGCCACTGATATTTAACCCACAAGAAATGCATGTGTGCTCTTTGGTTTAATACATTTAATTTACAACATAATTATTGCACAAACAATCCGATTTGTGCTGGAGACTGGGTATGTTAGTTGATATAGAGCGTGTGCCACAGTTCATACATCAGCATGTTGAAATAACTAGATCTACCTCAATTCAAGTGCCTTAGTGCTTTCCTGTGCTGATACAGTATGAGATTCTTTAATTATGTTCTAATCTGTTATGCTTTGATCATTAAGAGAAAAGAAATAAAATAAAAATAACAGATGCTTGCTTCCAGACATCAGAAAAATATTCTACCATAATAAAAAGAAAACTTTAAGAAGAAACTAGGGATTGTAATAGGATATTTATATTGATAATAATAAATAGGGCAAGAATCTACCACCCTTGCACACACTTGGTTTCATTGGAATTTACTGCATAGAAAGGTCATGCCCAGCATGAGCAAGAGTAGCAGAATCTGGCCTTTAGCAATACTTACTATTCATACAGCACCATCATAAGGCCCTCTCAAAGTGCCTAACAAAGGTATATGTAAGCATTATGAGACTAAATTAGAAATACAGACATTTCCAGGGCCAAATTGAAATGTTTCATCAAAATATAGGCTTTGTATGACATATCATGTTTAATTTAATCCATTAAAAGATTATTTTAGCTTAGCTGAAAGCAAGAAACTTCACCCCATGCTTGTTTTAAGAAAATGCCAAAGAAATTATTGCAACATTAGTTTAACTAGTCTTAAAATGAAGACCCCACGTTCCCAGAACAGCAATTAGAGACTGATAATAAAAAAGTAAAGAATGGTTAGTTTTGTGCTGTGACTGTACTTAGGAGTGTGATACAAATTACTAATTATTTGCTTTAAGAAAAAAATAGCCACAGGAAATTAGGCCATTGATCTTGCCTCTCATTAACACATTAAGAATTTCTTTTCATAGCTATTTGAAGAAAAAAAGTATGAATATATTCATCTTCTTTAAAATGTATTAAAACTAAAAAGTTCTGAAGACCATATTTTGCCACAATTTTCTGCCACTTATTTCAATGGTAGCTTTTACACACACAACTTTAAACAAAATTTGTAATTGAGAAGATAGCTGCAACTCATAAAATAAAAACAATTCAGTAAACAAATGTTATTAAAACACAAAAGGTAGTATAGGAAGAAAAGATGAAGATCTTCACTGGGATTATCATGCATCAACCATTTTTCTTTAAATTTTACAAGTGGCAAGTATAGTGTCTTTCTCCCAATATGAATTAATACCATGATGAATTATGTAGATTCCTAGTCCTTTGAGACACTAATACAACACTTTCATTTTTGCTTCTGAGCTTTTTACTTATTACATTAATTCAGATCATTCTCCTCTAGCACAGGAAGGAAAAACTCTTTCAATTAAGCTAAAGCCTCACCACAGCATGGGATGTGCCCACAGATAGCCAAGAAATTGGTGTTTTTTAAGTTTTTTAAATTTATGCTAATTTTTTTTTTAGAGGTTTTGGTTCAAATCAAGATTGGGGTTTAGATTTAAGTGAGGTTACAGCTAACCAAGTTATTGTAAGAACAAGTTTTCCATAAGTATATAGATCTGTATAAATCTTGTATTATCATTTATAACTTATCGACCAAACCAGGAAGAAATCTCACAGGAAATGCTATTTTCATGAGTTTACAGTTGATTCAAAACCAAAACTGAGAATTATATTCCTTCTCATTTTGATTCTGGCACAGAAACAAAATTATGCTGATGACTTCTTCAAGAAAAAGCAAGGAGCTATATAGACCATCACTACCTTTGGTGTTACATATACCTTAGAATACAATCCATGTCATTCCTGATAGGGGGGAAGAGAAGAATGAAGACAGTATAAAGACAGAGAATAAGATCCAACATAACCATATAGGCCTTGTGGTCTTCTGATTATGATAAAAAGAGCAAGCTATCATTCACAAAAACTATAAACAGTGTATAAATACATTGATATCACTTAAATTATTTTAAAAACTACCAAAAATTCCAAACTGGTCAATTTCATTGCGCAACAATTCATACAACTCTGCCGAATATCTACTAATTTTGCTTCTCTCACTAACTTTATGCATTAAGCTGAATACCATTTCAGCATTGGTCAAGTAGACTGAACTTAATTCTGTCTTTCCTTGTGTAACAGGGGGCTTCCTCGGGGCCAGTCTACCAACTGCCTGCCCACCTGTTTCTGGGCCAACCACCTGCCTCCTGTCCTGCCTTGCCTTGATGATATATTATTATGTTGTTAATTAGACAGGAGGCTGCCCATTTCTTGCCCCAATGCCCAGGTGCACTATCTACGGCTCCGTTCCTCCCTTACACCACAGCCCAAGCCTTGTAGATGGCATCCAAAGTTCTTATCATCACCATCCCCACACTGGGCCCCAGAATCCTCCAATCCAGACCCCAAACTAGATTCCCTCCAGTCAGGTGGCCTACTCCACCCTCATTCTGGGCTGCCTAGCTCCCTGAACTCTTTCCCCTCTCAGGCATGGTCCACCCGGGACCTTTGGCCACACAGGCCCTGGCCTCCAAGGCCAGTCAGAAACCTCAGGCCCTCAGCTCTGGGCATCTCTCATGGTGGGCCCCTGGTCCTTTTGACCATTCTGGTCCTGGCCCCAGCACTGACCAGTCAAGGGTATTCTAAGTCAGGCTTTTGAGTCTATAGCCCACTCTCTAACCTGGGCCCACCTTCTTGGCCCGACTATGGGTTAACCCACCCGATTGTGGAAGCTGGGGTTAAGGCGCCCTGATCCACTTTTTACTGGGGTGGTAACTGGCCTGGTATTTCCTGGGGGCTCCTGCACCACTCAGAACCCCACCAGACCAGCCACTCCTGGCAGGGTGCAGTTTTAGGTCATGCCCAGGACCAGGAGCCTCCAAACCACCCCTACAGCTCTTGCCCTTACCTATAGGCTGTTGCATGCAGCCTTGCAGCCAGGCAATGTTTCTGCCTGGCCTGCTAGCAGCAAACTGCTGTGTTTATATAGATGGCCAGAGATCTAAAATGGCCATCACAATCAAGCACCTGTTGGCTGCTTGGCTCAGCCATTAAAGTGGCAGGCACCAACAGTGTCCTGCCACATCTTGGTTGTTTGGTTAACTGTTAATGTACTTCTGACTTTATGATGTGATAAATATTTTATTTTTACCTTTGCTTCAATCTGCTTAGTATCTGGATTTTGGAACAAAAACTTGATTTTGCTCTTGCCATCATCTGAAGAGCCTTTAAGCTGAGAAAACTTGTACCTCCAAAGTACAGCCTAAAGAAAACAAAACATATAAAGATTGGTCAGAATAGGTATTATATAAAAGTGAATGAAAAAGATAGGATGTTCATGAACCTTTATAACCTACCTATGGTACATAATTAAACCAATGCAGTGCTCACTAGCCTGAAATCCCTTTGATCATATAGATGTATTATACTTTGGTAGTGTCTGATTCAGATCAGTCAGACTGCATTTGTGCAATTTTCTTTGAAACCCCTTTAGCTCTATTCAACCCTGGTTAACAAAAAGAAAGGGTCATTTAATCCACTGTGATGTCAAAAAAATAAAGGCCTTTTTTCCCCTGTGGATAAGTCACACACATCCTTTAAGTGCTAACTTGTCACAGAATTTCTCTTTTTTATTTCTATAAAAGAAATTATTCATATATATATATATATATATATATATATATATATGCATAAAAATGAAACAAAATTAAAACAAATACTTATTTTCCAAATGTAGTAAGAGAAAACAATGTAGTAATGAAAACCAGCAATATGCACTGGGAGCTTAACTGTGGAGAGTATAAT